GCCGTGAGCGCCGTGCCCCGCCCCGCGGCGGGCAGTACCGGCGCGAGGGGCTGCAGAGGGAGCCCGGGGATGGCGGCGCCGTTACCGGGGCGGCGCGGTAACGTCACCCGGCCCGCCCCGGGGAGGTGCCGGTCCCGCGCGCACCGCTCTGCAGTGAATCGGTCACACGAGCTGGGGGGGCCGCCCTGGCTGCCCGCAGCGCCTGTGCGGGAGCCTCGGGCCACGGGGAAAAAGACCCGATAAAGAGCCCGCGTTTCACCCGGGAGAGGGCAGTGCGCGCCCGGCACCGATCGCTAGTGACCGTGTCTTGCGTTAGCAAAGCTGTCCGGCCTTATCCACTGCTGTGAGCAAAACAATTTGCTTAGCGCTTACGCCTTTATTAAGGAATGGAAATTCAATTAAAAAATATCTTTTAACTACTTTTAATCTCCTCTGTAACATATGAGGAAGAGCAGAGGTCCAGATTGCAGAGATATACTATATATCTAAGTGTATTTAATACATACGTTTCCATGTAACATGTGCAGGTTAAGTACTAAATAGGGATTGGGCCCCAACAAATAAAGTACCAATGTGTATCCCGAAACTGTGGGCCAAATAACCCCCCGACTGCCCTGCCTTCGATGTGGCCSGTGGAGCTGCTGCGTAAACACCGGTTGCTCGGGAAGGATTGCGCCTGACGACACGGAGACACCGCTCCGGAGTCCCTTGAGCCAGGCTTGCTTGTGTCTTTACTGCAATTAGGTAAAAATCCCTAGCAGCCTTTTCCAGTTGTGCGTCCAGAGTCTGCACAAGATTCCAATAAACTGCAGTGCAAAGAGATTAAAGGAATATGTGATTATGTCAAATTGGTGTGATCTGGAGGAAATTAAAACAGCCATATGTGCTACAGGCTTAATCCCTGCTTCCCTAATTGCGCATGTAACTACCCTTAATCATGGAGTTCCTAATGCTGCAGTAACATTATGGTGTCTGCTTTGCTCTGCCAGGTGTTGGGGTTCAGTCGGTGTTCAGGGGTGTTTGGCTTGCCTAAAAACTGTAGTTTCAGTAACCCTGAAACAGGCGGCGGGGTTCAGAGCAGCTTTAGCCTCTTTGGACAGGGGATATTTGGCAAACGCCCTAGATAAAAGCACGTTACGGATCAGGTGTGAACCGCCTGTGATGGTTSTTCACGTCCTCGTGATTTCACAATTCAGCTGTTTCTACACCTGCTGTCATAATTATGTCTTTGGGTGACATTAACTATGTCTTAAGAGGTATAGGGAAGACTCCTGCTTAAATCCTGTCTTATTAGGGTAGCCAGTGTTTAGGGTGTGTTTTACAGTGACTTCTTGAGGGCTTCACTGTGCTACAAGTTGTCTGTTCAAGCACCTGGAAAGACAAAAAGCAGCAGCCTTTTTTGTTATTCAAGTTTAACTCCTTTGTCATTGGTTCTGTGTCCAGAACCAGTCTTCTGTCCTACACCTCAGCTCCCAAACTAATGTCACTTCCCTGTTTAAGTTTTATTCTCAAAGATTCAGTGTGTCCTCTCCTCCTCCTCTCAGGCTGCAGAAATACACACACCTTTTCTGGCATTTAACACAAGATCTCCCTGAATTCTAATCCTTAGCACTGCATACTTTGTATAACCTATGATACAAAGCAGCTTAAGTGGATTTCAGCAAGCATAGGCAACTTCCATCATCAAATACAGAGAAATATATTTTTTTAATGGTGCTGACGAGTAAATTACTGGCGGTGTTGACTCTGCACCTGCAATAACTTGAGAGCTGTCCAACTGGTCCAGGTAGAGCCAATAAACTGTAGATCTACCTACGACCATTTGATTTAGCAAAATATCACTTGTTCAGTTCTGATTTAGCAAAATATCACTTGTTCAGTTCTGAAAGACGAGTCTGCTGGTTTAGTGAGCCCCAGTCTGCCAGCAGCTGTCCCTAAGTCTTAATGGAACAAAGACTTTGAAATAAGTCAGGTTAGCCACTGCCCAGATTGTAAATGTTTTTAAAGTTACACTTTTTTTTTTGCCTTTCCCTTGTATATTGCAAAATAAATGCTGCCATAAAGCAAGATAAAGTTGTTATTTAACAAAATTGCAAGCAAGATCCCCCCAGTGATGGCTCTTGCTGACATAACCATAATCCTGGCAACCTGAAAAAGGGCCTGGTCCAGTTGAAAACATCAGAAATAGGAAGTTTCAGATATTTGTCCTTCAGCCGCCAACTCCATAAGCAAACACAAAGGAGAGGATTTTTTTAATAAAGAGTGCAACTTATTTAAATAAAAAAACCCCATTCTTAGCAATATAGAAGTGTAAGTTTATAAACGTGTTTCTTACAGAAGCGTTTGGTTATGTATTTACAGTTAATCCTGTGGGAGCCAAAAAATCTGGCTCTAGATTCAGTTCAGCGCAGGAGATTGGGTTACAGCCCATCAAATCACAGTATATGTTACGCCAGTCTATGAAGGCATTTTCCAAAGAAGATGAAAGAACAATTATTAATAGAACTCTGAAAAAAAAAAATCAGTTTTGTGGTATATGAGGAGCTCAGGAATAGGAAAAAAGCCCTGGCAGGCTCCAACCCCTGTTGGCACCAGAAGTTCTTCATTATACAGTATGGAAGGTTTTATTAATTGAAAGAGTGATAAAGTTACTGAGACACATGCAGGAGTCGTGTTGACCAAACTACTCAAAATTTGCAATTTTTTCCCCAAAATGAAATAGCAGGATCCTTCAAGGAGGCACTAAATGATCTTTATAAGAAGGAGCAGGAAGTATTTTACATGAACCAACGATGCATCAGAGACTGACCAGAGAGCTGCTGCCTCTGTGGTCCATCCCATAGATTTCTAATGGAGGAAAAGAAGAAATAAAAGGAAATGCAGAATGACAACAGATTTTTACAAAAACACCTAAGGAGTGCTCTGACCACAGGCTTTTGCATAAAAACATGGCAGTATTTGAACACTGTAGTTCAATTTGCCATTAACTTTGGTATAGCAAAGCAATCTGTAGCGTTTCACTTTTATTTATAGCAGTTGTTGCAATTACCACCTCTAACACGACATCCCACAACATGAGAACAGCTCATTTAAGCCAGTGTTCTTCTGTGATAGGTTTTATCTTATTACAGCGATCATTTTTCCACATCTTCTGCTGATTTGGGAATGCTCTTATTACAATGTCTGTAGGCCAGTAACTCAGAACCTGTTATAAAAGAAATAATTTCTTTCCTGCCTGAAATAAGCCATTCCAAAGGAGATTTTTTTTCAGGATCACCATCTCACTGGGAAGTAAATCTTACTGTTGGGCTGTTTTCCTTCAACTGCTGCGTTCAGACAAGTGGGCTGAAGGAGCTGTCTCACCCATGGTGAGAAGAGGCAAGCTGCTTTTCCTCTCTTCTCACTGCGTGCACAAAAGAAAAGCACAAATCCCCAAATAATTCCCATGCAATGTGCAGAGCAGAGCTGCCTTGCAGTGTTTTCATTAAGGCAGCAATCACTTTTAGCAATGCTGTGGCTATATATGTTAGTCATGTGCTAAACTGAGTAGTTTTCCCCAATTTAGCTTACTGGGTTAGGTGAAAGAGGCAGCCCGACACTTTTAGGTATAGTCCTRGAGGAAAAATCCGACGTAGAAAATTCTGTTTTCATTTGTTTGCCGTGGAACTTGTCTCTTTGTAATGTAATGTAAATGTAATTGTAAAACCCACGTACTAAGGGCAGCAACGACGTCAGCCTGCRCCCGCTTCGCAGGACCCATCTCATGCTGTTCCCATCCAGCAACTGAGAATTCCTGTGAAGAACTGATGTGTCAGAGCCCGAGAGCTCCCTGGGTCAGATTCCTTGCACTTCATAGCTCTCCAGCATAGTGTTCTCAAACATAAGCCAATTCGCATTAATAGAACACTTGCATGTGATCCAGGGGGAAAGGGGATCCGTACACCGGCGAGGAGGGAAGCGGAGCAGGAGGTTATAAAAATCAGAGGCAGGGTGTTACTTTTTCCTTTGCAGTCTAGAGGAAAAAATGGGTGAGTAACTTTTATTAGTCCTTTAAATTTAAAAGGGGCCAGACTGAAAACAGTGTTGACTATGTTTTAGACATTACAATAAGATGAAGGAAATGTGTTATAAGTGAAAGAAACTTTTCTGCTTACCTGAAAAAAWAGCTCCTTTGAGGTTCTGTAGTTTCATGATCTTTTGCATAGTTTGTTTTACAATTTTATAACCTATAATGTAAAGGAAAGAATGATGCTTACTTTGCTCAGTATCTTTCTAGTACAGAAATTAATTGCAAATGTGCATATTGTAAAATAATTATTTTCAAAACCTGTCAGAGCCCCATAGACTGTATAGTCTAGCAATTTGCAAATGCTGGTTTTCAACTAGGGCTCTCTCCCACGTTTTTTCTTTTCTCCAGAAATAGTTCTGAGGATTTGTTCCAGAAAGGACAGCTTGTTGACTTTAAGTTGCCATGTAATGACAAGAATGTGTGTTTCATGTGCAGAATTTCAGAGATAATATTAGCTGGCTATTCATTAGAAAGAGTAGGCAGATGTTTAAGCATGTTCTCAAGTGAAAAGTGACTGCCCTGTTTTGTTCYTTCATGCAAAACACAGTCC